GTGTAGTTCCGGATTCAACCAGCAGGGGCGCTCTAATCCGTCTCCAGTCACAGTTTGGTGGTGTAGTTCCGGATTCAACCAGCAGGGGCGCTCTAACTAGTCTCCACCATCTTTTCCGTCGCTTTTAAATAAAATGGGTGGCGCCAAAGCCTGACAACAAAGCGGTTGTTTGCGTCGGTTCCGTTCAGTTAATCTTCGCCTAAATTAGCAGTTTTGTTCCTATACCAACAACTTAGCTCTGAATTCAAAGGAAGAAGGACTTTTCTACCGATCTGACCGACAGCTTTCCTTTGGAGCCGCAGAATGTGAACATGACCGCCAAGTCGGACCAACTTCTTATTGTTGTTTCTGTCCTGGAAGGTGAGTTTGTTCCGAGGAGGATGACAGCTCACTTTAAAGATGGTTGGCAGCTCAGTTCGCTTCCGCATCATTTACACCGAATATATCCTCAATATCTGCTGATACATGAGAATTTTAACCCGGATTAAGAGCCAGACCCGGTGCAGGTCACCTGTGGGTCCAGGGTCCGGTACCCAGGTAATTCCAGCTGATAACTCATCACAGAATGCTCAGCTGAGACTAACTTTTGAACTGTTTACTCAGTTAAAGACATTTTTACCTGAACTACCTGTTCAACACGGGACAGGTGTGTTAAGGAGGACTCAGGTGGTTCAGCTCATCCAGAAAGAGGCTTTAGTATCACCATGGTAACGGACTCACCTGCTCCTCTTACCTGAAGCATCTGTCTGACACCATGTGTTCATTTTTAATCTGGTGGTTAATCAGGAAGGGATTAACCACCTGGCTGTACTCATTTATCACACTATTAATAATAATAGTAACATTAATAAAAATAATCAATGGCGCTTCATCTGATTAGTCTTTGTTGACAACCCAGTTCAAGATGGCCGCCACAACCAGTTCACCTTAAAAACAAACATAACTCATTCATTTTTACAGATATGGACCTAAAGTTTACCGTGGTAGTAGCTGAGACTGATCCACAACACAGACTCTGAGGGACATAAAAAATATTTGATTAAAATGTTCTTTAACTATTGGCAGTCAACTCCGTTAGCAAAATATCTTACGAACCACTGGTCAGACTAACAAAACCTGCATGTGAATGTGTACCGTATTCTGTTTCAGGGTCTCAGATTGAGATTATCTCTGAGTTATAATCTGGTTCAAGGTATATTTTTCTTTACAGTTATCGCTGCTCTTCACGATCTGTTCAATAAATCAAAATAAACTCAGAAAATAAACAGATGTTCGTTTACAACAGATGTGCATTCTTCAAGTAATACTTGTTGTTTAATTTAAATCTAAACATTTAATTTGTAACATGTTGTCTAAAAATGTCTACTTGTGATTTTTATGAGTTTTACACTGAGTTGTTGACGTTTTTTAGCTTAAAGTAAGACATTAAAATCATTAAACAACAATAAACAAATATTTAAACATTAATCCTTGTTACAGGAAGAGGATTTTTCATAATCTAGTTTCTGCTGTTTTAGTTGCTTGAATTAAAAGTTTTGAACCAATCAGAGCGACCGACCAGTTTAAATCTCTTGGTTCGGCGCCGGATCAGGGGTCAAAGGTCACCGCAGCGATCGGTGAGCATCATCTCTAATTTATGGATTATAATCTTTAACAGCGGTGTGTTTGTTCCACCCTGTGCGTCTTCAGGTCGGCACTTCCCGAAGAGGCCGCGGCTCAGTCTGGTGGTTCAGGCCAGCTTCGATGGCGAGCAGCTGGCCACGGACCCGGTGGAGCACCGAGACCAGCCGCAGTTCAGCACCGAGCTGGCCTGGGAACTGGACCGCAGGACTCTGCACCAGCACAGGTCCGCAGCTCTGACACCATGAAAGTCTCATTCTTAAGACACAAACCTTTTGGCTTTAACTTGAGAGGTTTTATTTTGTAAACGACCTGAGCTTTTATTGTGAAAACAACACGACCTCCTGTAGTTTGATTTGTTAAAGTGACGTGTTCCGTGTTCCTCTTCCCCGGCGGTTCTGATCTGACACGGTGTTTCCTCGGTGTCCTCAGGCTGCAGCGGACCCCCATCAAGCTTCAGTGTTTCTCCGTCGACCCGGTCAGTAAGAAGAAGGAGAACGTCGGGTACATCGTCCTGGACCTCAGATCGGTGCAGGAAGTCACACAGGTAAACCTCACCTGTCTGCCGGCGGGCTCCATCACAAACAAGATCCTGAAACACGTTCCAGATGTGGAACTTGCTGCTGCTGTTTAGTTCAACACAGAACTACTTTTAATCCACAGTCAGGAGTTTATTTCACCTTTATTCAGATTAAACTTATTTATTAAACACTCTCCGAAGTACAAACGAATCACCGGCTCCTCACCTGATTCATGAGCAGGTTTATAAAACGCGTTCAGCCTTTTGGGTATTTGAACTTGATGTTTCGCTCAGATGGTGTCGTTTAATTTTGTTAGTTCTTGTTTAGACGCAGCTTCAGGAATATGTTCACGAGTCATCGGTCGACCCCTCGAAGTCATTCAAAAAACAGTATTTACTCATTCCAGAGAAAATACCGGAGCACACAAGTTAAAACGTGTTGTTTCATTAAATTTTATTTGTACAGTTTAGCCACGCTGAGACACAATTATCTAACGTGTAGGAGAGAAAAACAAAACAATAAAATACATTAGTGTAAAATATTAATACGAGCATTTCAAACAAAAGTTGCTCTGAATAAAACACGTATTTAGAGTTTAATTTATTAAAATCTTGGGTTTTTTTCATGACTGAGTTTACTGACTGAGTTCTGAGTGAACAAAGTTGTTGGGAAGATTTTTAGTCTGAAGCTTCGTTTCATAAACGTGATGGTTAAATAAAAAGATTCCTGAATAAACATTTAACAGTAAAAACATTCGAGTAACTTTCATGTTTTATTTCACGTATTTAAAGTTTGAACTGATGATGCGCTCGTGTTACGGATCTTTCCGTTTGGACCTCGTCGGCGGACGGGTTCTGGTCCGGACCGACACCCACACTCTCCGTGTTTTTCAGGACCCTCGCTGGTATCCGCTGCTCAGCAGTAAATACACCAAACAGAGACCGGCTCTCCTCCTCGGGATGGTGCTGGAGAACGACTCCAAGGCCTCCGATCGCGCCCCGGACGGCTTCAGAGCCACCAAGGCCCCCCCTCGACGAGGTGAGGCTGCTGAGCTGCAGCTGTTCCGTCTGACCGGCTGCTGCTCCTTTCTGCACAACTCGGTGGTAAATTCAACTAATCAGGTGCTTTTGTTGGAGACCGGTCCAGCAGCCTGGGTTGGTGCACGGCTGTCTAGACCGTGCACGTGACCCACATTGACCTCCATGTTTCTGGTTTTATCAGCTGGAGACGTAGAGATTTGGACCAGGCTCGAAAACGTGGACATTCGAGCTGCAGGCTCTGAGACGAGTCTGGATTATTTGCAGAGAAAGATTTGTTGCTCAACAGTCACACGGCAGGATCGTGTTGATCGGTGTCTCCTGTGGACATTTCTGACCTTCAGGAAGGTTCTGAGACGTTCTCAGGAACGTTCACCGGATTTCAGTGTGCTTGGCCCATTGATACCAGTGTATGAAACTCAAAGAAATAAGACGAGTTTCATACGTTTATTATGTTGGATCTTCTGATGAGGCTGTTGTGACAAACGTGTACCGTTAATCTGGATTATCAGGACAAAATACTTTGGTTCTGATCATCTGGGTTTGATTAGAAGTGTCTCCTGTCTCAGGTTCTGCGTCAGTGCCTGCTCTGCTTCCTGAGCTGCAGGCCGAGCTGGTCCCAGACCAGGGGTACCATCAGGTCGGACCTGCAGATCTGTGCAGGGACATGTTTGTCCTGTCCGTCACCGTGGCCTTCGCCACCAACCTGGAGCAGGTAACATCCTTCCTCTGGTGTTCTCCTCCGCTGTTTGTTTTCATTTAATGCTTATTTTTATTTATTCAACCACATCAGGACACGTCCGCTCGTCTTCGTGTAAAATCTTTTTATTTTAGTGACCTGCAGAATCTTAGAGACATTTTGTGAATAAAAACTTTAACGTGATTCAAATCCACAGTTTTTGTTTTTGTTGTTTGTTTGTTTGTTGTTGTTGTTGTTTGCTGCAGTTGGTTCCCAGCACAAAGAAACTGTCCTCAGAGGACTCGGGGTTCTTCTTCTACTACTCTTTACTGGGGAACGACATCACCAGCGAGCCGTTCCAGAACCTGCTGAGTCCCAGCTTCGAGCCGGAGCGCGCCTCTGTGCGCATCCGCAGCAGCAAAAAGGTCCTGCAGGACTTCCTGTCTCAGCAGCCCGCTTTACAGGTGGGTCAAGACACCCGGACCTTGTCCTGACTGTGGTCTGGAGGTCCCTGTCCTGGATGTGGTCCGATTGTCCCGTGTCCCCCCAGGTCCATCTCTGCTGTGGGAACCAGTCTCTGGGCGGCGCCGACGTCTCCCTCTCGGCTCTGGCTGCAGCTTCGGCCGATGTGGACACGAAGACGTCGACCGTGGAGGGAGCGTTCGTCCTGCAGCCGCCGAGACGCGTCAAGCTGCCGTCTCTTCCTGCGGACATGCAGCCGACTGTGGGCGTGGCAGTTAGTCTGAGGCAGGAGGCGGGGCCTCCACAGGTAAACTTTACCTGAGTTGGAGAAACGTCTTTAATTATTTAAAAAACATTGTCTTGTTTAAAACCTGCTGCTTCTGCTGGGTCTGTTTTCCTCCCTCTATGCTACTTTTTAGCTTTTAGCCTTTAGCCTGTGTTCTGCTTCTTTAGCTTCCACAGGTCAGCTTCAGCTTCTTCAGCTCTCAGCGTTTATCATTTGAACATTTATCCAGTTTTAAATGAGTTGTTTTGAACTTTCAGGAAGCAGCTGGAGGTCTTTTGTTTAATTTCTGAGTTCTAACGACTCTGAGTTTCTAAAGCTGCTGGTTCAAATCCCATCTACAAAACAAATCTATTTAACAACTCCTTCTGTTCATCGGCTCCCTCACCTCGTGGACTTTGTTAATGGAGCGTAGGAGTTCTAAAAACTGGTTCACACGATGGAGGTTTTGGTATCAGACGGATCTTTTTCAGGTCCGTTTGCAGAAACTGAGTCAGAACCATGAAGACCAGGTCGTTGTTCTCATGAAGGTCGTTGTTCTCAAACACCTCAGTGACCTGAAGAACCAGAAGAGCAAAGACGACGATTCATCTTTTCATCTGTGTTTTCAGTCGGAGGAGAAAACTGCAGCTCCACGTCTCTCTGAACCTCCTCCAGCTGAGCAGAGACCTCCTCCTCTTCCTCCGTCTCCTCCTCCTCAAACCGAGAGCGAAGCAGAGAGTCTCCTGGAGGAACTCCACAAAGAGCCGGCGGGAGCGTCAGGTGAGGCTGGACCTCCTCAGACGAGCGGCTTGGCTCCGTCAGAACCTTCTGATGGAAAATGTTTGGCTGCAGATGATGGAGCTCCGCTGCTCCGTCAGCTTGAGGCCACAGCAGAAGGTGGAGCGTCGTCCGTCAGCGTCTCTGCTCCTAAAGTCTCCATCCCCGCCTCCGCTCATCACTTCTGCTTCTCTCTGGACCTGCGCAGCTTGAGCAGGTCCAGCTCGCCTCAGCCCATCTCGGCCACGCTCAGGTGAGCCTCCGGGTCACGACACGCCGGGCTTCAGGTCTGGACCCAGACAGGCAGGTGCATCATCCGTGTCTGTTGGGTTTCAGGTACTCGTACCCGTTCTTCGGCAGCGCCGCTCCCATCATGACCAACCCTCCTGTGGAGCTGCAGAGGAACATGGAGGTGTCGCTCCCTCGGTCCTTCTGCGCCTTCGACTTCGCCGCGCTGCCTCAGCAGCTGCACGACACGTTCCTCAGGTAGAACCACGGAGAACCTCCACCTGACGACTCGATGTTTATCTGGAAACCTCTAGAACTGGTGTTTGTCTGTGGCAGAGTTCCTCTGGTGGTGGAGCTCTGGCACCGAGGCTCCACCTGCAGAGACCAGCTGATTGGACGAGCCTCCGTCCTGCTGTCTCACCTGCTGAGCTCAAACAGAACCAGAACCGTTAGACCCTCAGGAGAGCAGGTCTGGAGACAGACCCATCAGGACCAGATCCCTGTGGTCCACCCTCAGAGGTAGGACTTGGTGAGTGTCAGGATGACCGACCACCTGCAGGAGTTTCACCAGGTGCGTCTCCTCCCTGCAGGTCCTCAGAGAAGGTGGCAGAGCTGAGCTACGAGGCGGCGCTGGAGGACCTGGGCTTCATCCGACCCAAACAGGTGGTGCTGTCGGACTCCTCACAGGTGAGTCCAGGTGTGTGTGGGTCGGACCGAGCCGGACCGCATCTTTATAAAACCTGCTGACAAGATTATAATCCTTCACTTTTTAAACACACTAATCTGCTCCGATACAGAACCGGTCTGTAACAGAACATCAAATTAGATTGAACAGATTAAGATTATTCAGATTAACAAGAACCAAAACAAACACAGAACCACATCTGTAAGGTGGAGTCGGGTTTATTGTACACTTAGTCATACAGGAACATCTGGGTCGTGCAGAACCACTTCACCTGCGTACGGGAACATCTGGAGAGATGGATAACAGGTGACGTTTGGTTCTGGTGTTCACTTCAGGTCTGAGCTCCTGTTGGGTTTTATGGGTCCGGTTCTGTTTACAGCCTCATCGTGATGATCTGGTTCTGGTTCTCTGTCGGTTTTTAATAATTGTCACGTTCTGAGTAGTTTGTTAAAATGTATCTTCAGAACGAGCTCCCAGCCGACCCGCAGCCGCCTTCCCGCCCGGTACCAGCAGAACCGTCGGCCCGCCTGTCCACCAGAGACACGCCGGAGTACCGAGCAGCTCTGGAGCTGGAGCTGTGGAAGGAGGAGCAGGAGGTTCTGTTCGATGATCAGGTAACCGGACATTCAAGAGTCTGCAGCTCTGGTACCAAACACAACAGAACCCAGGATCAACTGGGCCAGGTGGTTCAGTCAGACACATCTCTGCCAGTTCTCAGGTCTTGACCCGGCAGGCCCGACTGACTCTGAAGGTAATTTACACCCTGAAGATCAAGACTGAACCAAATGTACCTGCAAACGCCCACTGAGGGTCCTACAAGCTGCTGGGACCGGGTCCAGACCCAGTTTTACTGAAACGGTTCTGTTGTTAGATTTGAAGAACTTCAGATGTTTTTTAGGTTCTGACCTGTGAACCCTAGGACCTACACAGGTCTTGGTCCCCTGACTGTCAACCTCAGATGATCTTCTGACTGTTTAGAGACGACAGCTCTTTGTTTGCTGACGTCAGAGTTCTGCCGGGCTCACGGGGTTCTGCTGGTTCTGTTCCAGCTGAAGGAGAAGGAGCTGAGACACATGCAGGCGTTGGCAGCGGAGTGGAAGAAGAGAGACGGAGAGAGAGAAGCTCTGGTCAGGAAGAAGGTCTGAGACTAAACCCATTTCAGTGAGAACCACCAGAGTCTGGACCTGAACCTCCTCCTGGTTCTGATGGACCCGTTCATGTCTGCAGGAGCTGGAGTTCAACCTGCTGGAGGAGAAGCTTCAGAGAACTCTGTCAGACCTGGAGAAGAGAGAGAAACATCTGGCTGAGGCCGAGCTGCAGGTCAGGTCCTCCTCCGTTACTCACAGGAAGTTCCTGGACCCAGGTCTCGATAAGATCCTGGACCCAGGTCTCGTTGGGATCGTGGACCCAGGTTTCGTTACCGTGGTCTCGCTGGGATCCTGGACCCAGGTCTCGTTGGGATCCTGGACCCAGGTCTCGTTGGGATCCTGGACCCAGGTCTCGCTGGGATCCTGGACCCAGGTCTCG